CAGTACAGTTGCCTAGGCCACTGGTTAGGTGACTTGCCCAGGGTCACACCCCTAGGCAGAAGCAGGAATCGAACCGGTGTCTTCCTCCAAGGCCAGCTCTCTAGGTATTGCTGTTCCCCTTAGCATTAAGTAGAACTTCATCCAGGTCTATAATTACGCTAGAGCATTGGGGGTCTCCCCCAGGGACTTACATCTTCCCAGACCCCCTCAGTACAGAATTTCTGCCGTAGCTTTCCACTGTTCACTCACACATGTCATCCTGACAAGCTGTGAGACAGAAAGGTGCCGTAGCATCGGGAAAAGAGCATTTGATTTGGAGTCGACGGACCCAAGTGGGAATCTCGGCTCGGACGCATCCCAGCTGGGTGACTGGACGAATCACTTCACTTCTCTGCGCCAGCTTCCTTGTCCTTCAGGTGTCATTTTCGTTACCTGCTTCCTGGGGCTGTTAGACCGTGCTTTATAGACTTCAGAGGTCACTGTGCGCTCATGGTTAGTGAGGGCAGCTGGGGCCGTCCTCAGCCTGGTCCTCCGCAGTCTGGTTCTCATGCCCTTTTGGTCTTTTTTTTTTCATGTTCCTCCCCTACATAGTGTCTCTCTCCCTCAGTCTGTCAGATCTGTTGTTCCATTCCCCTCCCTTTGCGCCCAGCTGTCTAGCTTGCCTAGAACATTATCACTTTGCTATTAGACTCTTGGCTTAGTTTTGTTACAAATTACTGTATATAAGAATCATACAAAACACACATCCAGTATACAGTGCTGGAGGAGTGGATAGAGAACCAGCCGTGGAGTCTAGAAAACCTAGGTCGCAGTCCTCCCCTCTGACATTTCCTGGCTATGTGACCTCAGACAAGTCACCTTCTGACTTCTCAGAGCTTCCAGACATCCCTCTGAAACTGATTTATCTGGCAGGTTTTATCAAATTTGCATTGGTAGAGAGAGTTTCTGCACTGAGAATTCCCTACACCAATGAAATCACAGGTATAGCCCCCCCCCACCCACTCCCACCCAAAAAATATTGTCATATACAGCAGGTGTAGAACTAAAGCAGTTAATTCAGACTAAGGACAAATACCGAAGCTGAAACTTAATTATTTTGGCCACATCATGAGAAGATGGGACTCATTGGAGAAGACCCTGATGTTGGGAAAGGTAGAAGGCAAAAGGAAAAGGGGATGGCAGAGGATGAGAGGGATAGAGAGCGTCGTGGAAGCAGCAAACGTGAGCTTGGACAGACTTGGGGAGATGGTGGAGGTTAGAAGGGCCCGTTGTGCCATGGTCCGGAGAGTCATGAAGAGTCAGACATGACTAAACAGCAAAACAACGTGGAATTAGCAGGATACACCATGTTCGTGCACAGTAAAATCCTTTGCAATTTCTTGCATATGTATTTTTTGGTTTTGTGTGTACTGTGTGCAGGGGTATGTGTGTACGTATCCTGGACCCCCTCTGGACATCTGGAGAAGCCTGGGGTCCCCTTTTCAGAAACATATTTTTAAATAATTGAAGGAAATGCTAAATGTCAATTCCAGGTTAATAAAAATGATGATGTAATTTTTTTCCCATCTAAGTTCATGGACCCTCTGAAATCTAATAAACTAATCCATGGACCCCAGGTTCAGAACCCCTGTCCTAGGAGAATGTATTGTCCTTGAGGGCAAGGGCCATTTCCCTTTTGTATTTGAGTCCTCAGTGCCTAGCACAGGGCCTGACCTATAGTATGGCCTTTATTGAATTGAATTACCCGAATTTTTCAGATGAGGAAACACAGGCTGAGCAAGGTGAAGTGATTTACCCAGGGTCATACATCTAGTTAGCCTCAGAAGGGCTTAAGCCAGGAGCAGTTCCCTGTATACAGCAGATGGCCAATAAATGTTGTTTGGCACCCATAAGAATGCCTGCCCCACCCCACCCCCAGCCACAGGGCATATATGAATTTACATGGGTCCTTGCACAGTGTTGGGTGTGGCGGAGTCCAGGGTGGAGGCCCTGTCTGATTGTGGGACCTACTGTGAGCCACCTTTGGTGTGAATGCTGACTAGCTGTACTGGTCTGTCTTGGCCCTGGAGGAGAGGTATTGGAAGACCTTTCCTCCGAGCAGTAGAGAGGTGAGGGACTAGGGATGCAGAAGGCCACCCGTGCCGGTAACAAGGGCTCGGGTTGGCTGAGCTTATCATCTGTCTATTACCACAGGGCTCAGTTGGACGGGAGAGAAGAGCAGAGCCATAAATGACCACGAATGATGTAAAAAACTAACAAAAACAAGGTTTCCGTAGAGTTGTGTTTATGAAAATCCCCATTAGAAACTGCAAGGACATTGTAGGAGACGTTTAACTCTGCAAGCCCAGGAGGCCATGATGTGTTTGCCCTCTTGTGAAACAACACAGATCATTGGCATTCCTACCATCAGGTACAATTTGTTACTCCAAGGAAAAACCTCTCCAACAAGGCGAGTGCTTTCTGGTTCACTGGAAAGCATGCTGGGCTAGAAGCCAGAAGACCAGTTTTGGAATCCTGGCTCATTAGCTCTATGACATTGGCCAAAGCTCTTGGGCCTCACTTCTTCATCTGTAAAACGGGGAGGGGGTGAAGGGAACTAGATAGACAAGCTCGGAGGCAAGGCTCCCTCATCTTGTCACATCCTGGCCCCCTTGGGCAGTCTGCTGAAGCCTACAAAGTCCTACATTAAAATAAAATACAGGGGACTAGATGGGAAACCAATTACCTTGAAATAGAATTATTTAAAAAATGATTTTAAGTTCATTGACTCCCAGGGTGAGATCCCTGCTCTAAGGTCCCTTCTAAGTTCAAATCTATAATCCTATGATCCCACGGTTTATTCATAGTGAAACTCCAGAGATTCTACTTCCATGGGGGAAAAAAGCGGGGAGGAAATAAGCATTTATTGAGCACTTACTGTTTGCTAGCAACACAGTGAAAGAAAAAACAGTCTTCACCACGACCGAGAAGGGCATTTCATAGGGATCGTGGGATTTTGTAGAGCTAAAAAAGACGATCTTGCAAGGCTCCTAGTTAATCAGGATGCAATAGAGAACCACTGGAAACGTTTGAGCAAAGGAGTGCCATGTCTAGACCTGTACATAATTCCTTTGGTCAAACGTTTTCAACGATTCCTATTGCATCCTAATTAAATTACAAACACCTGATTCAATTGCAAACCTCTACCTGGCCTTCATTTCCTTTGACAAGCTGGGGCTACCCTCCAGTCCGATCTCATACTACTGCCAGAATCCCAGCCTGAGAGACAATCCATCTATCTAATCTATCTATCTAGTCCCCCACCTCTCCATATTGGATGTCTATAACATCTCTGGCAAGAGTTCAGCCAGCTTGAAGACCTTCAGTGAGGACTCACTACCTACCTGCCAAGGCAGCCTATGCCCCTCTGGGATGGCTCTTAGTTGAGAGGCTGGGTTTCCCCTACATCCAGCCTCAATCTCCTTAAGCCAAGGTTGTGAAAGTTTCTATACTTGTTTGGGGACAGCCTGGGGCTCTTGCGCTCTTACAAAGCTCCCTGCGCACAGAGCAGAAACCCCTGGACCTTCAACTGGAAGGTCACACCAGCACCAACCAGAGAGGCCTTGATGCAGGCCACAGAGCCCAGGCACAGCCTGCAAGGCAGTGGCCAGCCCTGGCAGTTTCAGCGATGGGTGTGTGGCCAAAATCCAGAGCTCACCCTGATGCAGAGGAGTGAAACATTGTCTTGGGGGTTTTGAAAAGCCCCAAGGCATGAATCACTATTTGATTCTGGTTGGCTGGCTAGAGGGGAACTGAGAAGAGGCACATGGTTCCAGTGTGCAGGAGCAATGGGGGATAGGCAAATATTGAGGTGGGCCCAGTCTCCGAATCTACATTGGTTTGTTTTGACATTTAAGTGCTCAGTAACCCCACAATCAAACACCATGTGTGCACTCCTCCGCTTTGTCAATGGGCTCTGTGAGGCCTGTTGGGGGGCCCAGGTTTAACTTGTTACTTCCAAACAAGGGGCTCAGGAAGATGCCCTTCACCCTTGGTCACTTGCACCAGAGTTGGTCCCTTGGGTAAATTGGGTTTTACTGAAGAATGCCTTTTTCTGCTGGAGTGGGGCTAGAGAGAATGAGCTGCAGGATGGAGGAATTATGTGAGTTAACAGGATTTACTAAAGGTTCTCATTATTGACCCTGCACTTATTGTGTCTCCTTCAGACAACCTCCCCCAAGTCATAGAGAACCATCCATCTCCCCCCTTGTTGCATGGGATTACACCTGAGACACCCCCTCCCTTCTCAGTGTATACATGTGATTCATCTTATTCATCTAGTATTGGAATGTGTCAATCAGTCAACAGGCACTTATTAAGCACCTACTCTGTGCCAGGCAGTGTGCTAAGTGCTGAAATGGTACAGAGACTGTAAGCTCCTTGAGGGCAGAAACAATATTTGCCTTTCTTTGTATCCCCAGAACTTACTACTGTGCCTGGCATGCACTAAGAGCTTTAATAAATGCTTGTTGGCTGGTATTCCCATCCAAAAGTCATGGGTTCAAATCCTATCTCCGACACTAGCCATACAGTGACTGAACCCATCCCAGCCTTAGTTTCCTCGTCTACAAAATGGGGGAGGGGGAGAGTCATTATAAAGTTCCTTTTGCCTCTGTATCATCCCTTTTTCTGTTGTCGTCCCCATTAGTAGTCAGGTGAAGCCAATGGACCCCATCTCAGAATGTTGTTTTTAAATAATTGAAGGAAATACTAGATTCTGGTCAGAGGTTGGGGAAAATGTGCTTGTCCTTTTTTTTCCATTTAAACGCACAGACTCCCTGAAATTGGGGGGGAGCAGTCTGTGTCCCTAATTAAGAAACACCCCTGATTAAGACCCTCCGTTCTCAATCTATGAATCAATGATCCATTGATCATTGAGGGAGCCCGTGCCACTATGAAGTTCTGTTCAGTGTAGCTCCCTTTGGAAGACATCTCTCCAGTCTCTGTATGTCTTCCTGCAGATCTCTCTCCTCATTGCCTTCCTCTGTGTGAAGAACTCCATGTGGACTGATTACAGCGCGTACAGCTACTTTGAAGTGGTCACCATGTGTGACCTGCTGATGATTCTCGTCTTCTACCTGGTCCATCTTTTCTGCATCTACAGGATGCTCACCTGTATCAGCTGGCCATTGGCGGTAAGCCGGCTAGTAGCGTTCAGCTGGGAGCTGCACAGCTCTGGGAGCTTTGCTTAGTAACTGAAATGGGAGGGAGGAAGGTGATCCCATCATCTTTCCAGGTGGTCTTTTTTAATCCTTTAATTTGGCACCTGCTGTCCTAATTATCCATTGCCAGAGAGTACCTCTTACTGATTCAGGGAAGATCTCAGCGCTGGCAGGCTGGTATCCCAATTTCCACCTTTAGTGCTTCAGAACAGGCTAAGGATTTGGCGGGGAGGGTTGGGAGGCGAGGTGATAAAGAAGCGTTTCTAACACTCAACTTGTGACTTGAATTCAATAAACATTTATTAAGTACCTGCCTTGTGCCCCACACTGTGCTAAGCTTGTTGGAAATGTATCTTAGCTACAAAATAACAGGTGGAGAGAAACAGTGGTTGCTAACTTTTTTTTAATTGATAGACTTAAAAATGTATTTGAAAAAAATAGAAATAAAGGGAAACATTTAAATGTGAACAAACCAGCACAGTGTCTAGTCAGGGGTGGGGAACCTTTGGCTTTGAGGCCACATGTGGCCCTCAAGGTCCTCAAGTACAGCCAATTCAGTCAAAGGGCCTAACTTGAGGACCTAGAGGGCCACATGTGGCCTTGAGGCCTCAAGTTCCCTACCCCTGGGGATGCTCAGTCATTCTCTCTCTCTCTCTCTCTTTTTCTCTTTCTCTCTCTCTCTCCCCCTCTTTTTCTTTACCTCTCTCTTTTTCTTTACCTTTCTCTCTCTCTTTCTCTCTCTTCCTCTCCCTCTCTCTCTTTCCCTTTCTCTGTCTCTCTCTCTGTCTCTCCCCCCCCCCCCCCCCAGAGAACTGATAGCACAGTGTTTCCCAGGCCTGGTTCAGTGACGCCCCAGATACTTTCTCATCATTATCACAAGGCTCCTTCTGGAATTTCCTAAAAAAGCCAACCACCAAACGTATATTAAGCATATATCTGAGCAGGGTACCCTAGGATAGACTCTGGGGCTTGACTCAAGGTTTAAAATTGATCACTAAATCTATTTCACTCAAATAGTGAAATAGACACTATAATTGATTAAAACCAATACACAACTCTTGGCTGGGAGCAAATTGTGTTGGTGAACACATAGAGTATTTCATTCTTTCCATTACACAGTGCCTGGCTCATAATAGGTGCTTAATAAATGCTTACTGATGGATTAATCTGCTGATCTTGAGAATCTATGAAAGTTCAGTGAGCTCTCAAAGCCACTGGCCAACATCTCTGGTTCCTCCTTGTAGCACCAAGTCCCAAGATCCTTCTGGCTTCCCTGCTGTCTGTGTGATGCACGTACAGAAGTACAGGATAGGGGTGGAGGGCGAAGAGGGAGGGCAGGGTAAGGATGTCAGCGGACAGAGCCAGTCACATGCTCTGTCCTTTCATACTTTCAGTTTCTCATTAGCCAGAAACTCTGTTCTACATCTCTTTGAAGGACTTATGTCGTTTTCCCTTTCTGCTTTATCTCTTCCTTGTTCTATTATTCTATTATGTTCCTAGTTCTTTCTATATTTTCTGCTTTTTCCTCATATCTTAGTTTCTTAGAGGTTCCTGTTCCACACCACCAGTCCCTGTTTCATGCCACATTCTATCTAGTGTGTGTTTGGTTACAAGGAAGAAAGAGGAAGAGGAAGGACTGAGCAATGTTTCTAATTATGGTGAAATAAATTTTTGACACGGCTTTGTAGTTCCAGCCCAGGACTTCATGAAAAGGGATATGTGCTTGGAAATGGGAAATCCAGTGGACCAAGAGAGAGCATTAAAGAGGAAACTTGCTCTTTCAGTAGGCTCAACAAAGGCAAAGTCTCCTTGATGAAGCATTGAAGCTGTCCATTTGGATATGATAGAAAGCCATTCTTGGAATATCATGGCTGGTCCAGGCACCTCCTTTTAAGAAAGGCATTCCTACATTGGTGGGAAGTACAACCAGTATAGTAAAGGACCTATAGGTCATAAGATAGAATAATAGTAATAATGAATCATCATAACTCCCATGAGTCTCTAACGCTATAAGGCTTCGTATGATATTTCATGAGATCCTCCCCAGTAACCCTGCTGCTATTATTCCCATTTTAGAGATGAAAAAACTGAAACTCAAAAGTAGTTGAGTGACTTATTCAGGGTCATATAACTAGTCCTTATCTGAGATGGGATTAAAAGCCAGGTCTTCCTGACTCCTGAGTCCAGCACGACCCACTAAGCCACGTCTGGAGTTCTATTTGAAGGAATGAGGGATTTTAACTTGGAGAAGAGAAATCTTGCAGGGCTGAGGGGATGAGGAAGGGGGTCATGATGGCCATATTTAGATTCAGATATTTGAAGTTATTACAAGGGATTAGATTCATTCTGTTTGATACACCCACCCCCTCACCTCCACCTTCCCACCCCAAAAAGGCACGGAAGTTACAAGAGAGACAGATTTAAGCTGGACAGCAGAGAAAACTTCCCAACAATTGGAGTTGTGCCCAAGTGGCCTGGGAGGTCTTCAAGCAAAGGCTGGTTGGACTTTTGGTGGGTCCAATGTAGAGGGGTCTCATGCTCAGGTCCAGATTAAACTAGAGGCCCCTGAGGTCCCTTCCATTTCTGGGACTCAACCCAAATTCAGGGGAGACAGGGTGAGAAGCATCCTAGCTGAGCCTAGGAGCGAGGAAACACCATTGGCCCATGCTGAGTGCTTCTCAGACCGCAGCTGACTCCTTTCTAAGTTCTGCCTGAGGCTCATCTATTATTTCCAAAGTAACTGTGAGATAGCTGCTACTCTCATCCCCATTTTACAGATGAAGAAGGAACTGGGGGTTTTAGTCTAGAGAGGACAGCGTGGCTCCCTGGGCAGCATACTGGGCTATTGCTGAACTCAGCAGGTCTCTGTGGTCAGTGACAAGAGTTAGGGGCGCGGTCAGCCTGCTTCTAGATTCCTGTTCTGCCAGGAACTTTTTCTAAAGGCAGAAAAGACCCAGAGCTTCTTTGTGGGGGACCTCTGCCCCTAGGAATGAAGCTAATGCCTTCCTTGAAAGCTTTAGCCGCCTGGAGACAGGGAAAGGGGAGAAGATTGTTCGTGATTCTCTGCAAAGCCAGAATCATCTTCTGAAAGAACAAAGTGGATAATGAAGCAGCTATTGGCGGCTGGCTTGATGAATTTAGTTTTCGTTCTGTCCCCTTTTCTTTCCTCCCTTGGATTTTCTGTCTCTGCTCCTGGCTTGTCTCATGTTACACCTGAATAGGGCTGTGCTGGAGTTAGGAGACCACTCCCTCTCTTGGTTTTCATTTTCCCCAATGTTGCGGTTACCCCACCCAACACCCCATGAGCAATGCCCTAGGGACAGCCCCTCCCAGGCCAGCCTACCCACCTCTCTACCTCTTTCTCCCCTCCAGGAATTTCTGCATTACTTAATTGGTACAATCCTCCTGCTGATTGCATCCATCGTGGCAGCATCCAAGAGTTACGGCATAGGCGGCCTCGTGGCTGGAGCGGTGAGGAGCCTTCTCTTGGATGAGCCCCCCAAAACTCAGCCACTCTCCTGCTTCTTTGACCTGGTGCAGCCTGAGCTTCCTGCCTTCCTGTGGATAACAGGAGCAAAGATATAGAGCTGAAAGGGACCTTAGGGCCATTTGTCCAACCCCGTCCTAGAAAGACTCTAATCTAACCGTGTTATTTTATAAGTGAGGAAACTGAGTCAGAGAACTTAAGTGACTTCCCAGGGTCACACAGCTCATCAGTGCTATAAGAAACATTTGAAACCAGGTCTTCTAGACTCCAAGTCCCACAGTCCACAGTCAATAGTCGATAAACATGTATTAAGCACCTACTATGTGCCAGGCACCATGCTAATGGCTGGGTGTACAAAAAGAGTCAAAGACTATTTCTGCCCTCAAGAAGCTCATAGTCTAATGGGGGAAAAGGCAGGGGAAGGGGAAGACGAGACAACAGGAAAAATGATGTACCAGGATGCTAAATACAGGTTAAATAGAAAGTAAGTGAGAGGGAGAAGGCACTAGAATTAAGAAGGATTGGGAAAAGCTCCAACAGCAGCTAACAACAACGAAAGCTAGCATTTACTTGGTGTTTTGGAGTTGATAAAGGGCTCTTATCTCATTTGAGTCTCCCAGGAACTCTGAGACGTCGTGGCTATTTGTATCCCCGTTTCACGGAGGCAGAAACCAAGGCTTAGAAGGGTTAGGTGACTTTCCTGGACAATTTGCTTCTGATCGCCCTGATTTAAGCCCCGTGCCCTCTGAGATGATAAAGAACGGGATTTTACCTAATACTTTAAGGTTTATAGAGCACCGTCCATGCATGATTTCACTTGAGTCTCATCCAACAACCTTGGGACGCTATGGTTATCCCCATTTTACAGATAAGGAAACTGAGGTTCAGGCAGCTCACTCAGGGTCACATCACACAGGTGGTGGGCTTTGGACCCAAATCTTCCAGACTTCATCAAGCAGCCTAACCCACCCTGTCTTTCAATCTGACCAAGCACATGGGACACAAAACACATCCAGGCTCTTAGGGCTGTCGTAAGCACTGCGCCTTTGGGAAGAACCTGTGTAGGACGTGAGGCATCTGAGGGACACGGCAAACAGACTTGGAGTGGGGAAGACCTGAGTTCAAATCCTGCCTCATACAAATAGCTGTGTGACCCTGGGCTAGTCACCGAACCTCTTCCAGCCTCAGTTTCCTTAATGTAAAATCATAATACGTACCTTACAGCGTTACTGTAAGGATCAAATTAGGTAATAGATGTAAAGTGTTTTGCAAAACTTAAAAGTGCTGTATAAATCATCTATCATCTATCATCATCACCACCATCCTCATCCTCGCCACCCCTGCTTGGGAGGGCCTCCTCTTTTATCTGGGGTAGAGCAGACCCAGGAAACAGTAGAACAGAATGATGTAGTGATGCAGACAGTTGGAGAAGACACCAGCCTACAGGAAGAGAACCATCCATGGGATTGTAGGCCGGTCAGTGAGCACCAGAGGAATCGAGGAAGGGACAGGGGAGTTTGTGCTGACGGCAGCAGCTGCTGGATAGTGCCCAGCTGTTCAGGACAGGGCCCTGCCTTGGGCTGCTGAAGGGCTGTCATGGCAAGATGGGCCTGGTGCATCTGCTGCCCTTGGCCCAGCCGCGCTGAGCCCAAAGATGCTAATAGCTAGCCCTTCTACAGCACAGTAACTTCTGTTAGCTGATTTGGTCTGTGTGACCAGAGCACATCATCTAATAAGCCCTCTGGGCCTCAGCTGCCTCATCTGTAAAAGCTAGGGCGTGGGGTGGACGAGGAGATCTCATTCTGAGAGGCATTGCCCCCTCAAGATGGTGATTGCAGCCCCCTGGTCATCCCAATGTTTGTGCGGCCTCTCTGCCTCACTGGGGTCACCTTCAGAGTTCTGTTTAGACCCAGTTTCAGGTCAGGAGCAACAGAACAGCCCAGAGGATTAAATGCTAAGCACTGAGCCCGTGGTGTCCATCACAGGGAAGCCCAAGTCTGCTGGGCCCTGGAATCTTGTAGACCTTTTCCTCCCTCTTCCCTTACAGTGGATCTAAGGGCTGAGGGCATTTGGGAATGGGACAAGCATCATTCCACTCATCCATTAACTCATCCACCAAATTATCAAAGGTGAGAGCTGGAAGGGTTCCTGGGGTCCACCCCCTTCATTGGAGAAATGAGGAAAAGAGAATTGACTTACCCAGGATCACCCAGCCAAGAAGAATCCAAACCAGGCCTCAAGCCCAAGTTGGCTGACTTAAGTCCAGTAGACTTTGCTCAATGTGTTAAGAGCCTACTATGTGCTAATACAAAGGAGATCTTATCATGGCAAGAAACTTCCCTTTCTGAGAATGAACTCTGAGTCGTAGAGGGTCATTTAAGAGGGAAGGCAAAGGAAGAAGCATTTGTGGGGATTCTGCTAAGCACTTTTTACAGATATCTCATTTGATTTTCACAGCAACCCTGCAAGGTGGGTCCCGTTACATCCCCATTTTACAGATGAGGAAACGGACGCAACAGAGGTTAAGTGACTTGGCCAGGGTGACACAGCTAGTGGGTGTCTGAAGCTGGATTTGAGCTTGGGTCCTCCAGACTCCAGGTCCAGTGCTCTGTCTGTCGGGCCCCCTAGGTCCAGGTCCATCGTTTTCATTTTAACTGCACTGAAAAGATCCTCCATCCTTTGAGAAGGATTATGGGAAAAGCTGCATGCTATAGTGGATCCCAAAATCTGGAAGACCCAGAGTAAAGTTCTGCCCCTGACTGAGCGAGTGACCCATCGTCACAGCGTCCCCGACGGCTCTAACAGACATTCTTAACCTTTCTTGGGAGTCAGGCCCTTGGGCAGCCCAGGGAGGCCTCAGGACCCCTTCTCACAGTCATGTCTTTAAATGCACAAAATAAAATACATCAGATGACAAAGGAAGCCAATTCTGCTGAAATAATTATGAATTGTTTTGAATTTTTTAACTCACAGACCCTGCTCTAATCTTTATCTGCATTAATGACAGGGGGAGCTCCTCATCAGGATTTCTTTACGTGGATGAAATCCCAGATCTGATTACACACACACACACACACACACACACACACACACACACACACACACA